ATAAAAATATCTTGCACAATTGAACCAAGTTTTATATTAATGCTTCTCTCAAAAGAAAAGCCAAAGAACATGGAGTTTTGATGACATTGTCAAATTTTCCACAATAAATCAAGTTAAAATAATACTAAAAACATATCAATCCAGCATTCACATAGCATCCATACTATGTGAGTAGTCTGGTTTATATACATTTATTTAGAAGTAGGTAGAAATTTATTTAATTAATATTATGTAAGAGGAACCTTCATGTGACAAGTTTTTTTAGTTAGTTTTTTGCTCTGGCAGTTGTTCAGGTTCCATTTTTAAAATACATTTAAGAGCCAAATTAATTGTGAAATCAATGTAAGTTCTTTTTTTAAATGATGCTCTTGATAAAACATTTTTCTCACACAATTGTCTTGAATTTGAAAAAGGGAAAAACTATGTAATTAGAATACTGTTTTGAAAAGTAGTCTGCAAGTGGAGAGAAAAATTTTAGTGTTTCTTCAGGAAACTCATGAACATAATATCTGGAGAAAACCTATTTTAAGTAAACTTATTTTTTTTATTGTATTCTAAAAGTAATTATAATTCAGAATGTTTTTTTTAATAAAAAACAGGATTCCATCTTTAAGTTTTTAAATGAACTTGATGCTATCAAAAGTTTTACAAAACTATTTAGTTGATACTAGTGAAAACTCCAAAGATAGTATAACATTTTATATAATCTATAACTTTGAGATACATCAATAAGATTCCAAATTTTGTTTTGACAATTGAACTTGGATCCTAAGACACATTATCTCAAAAGCACAGAAACTAAATAATGGCTCAGCCAAAATGTGTTAAAACATCAAAAACATGAAGGAATTCAATTATCCTTACAGAATTTTGAATGCATAAATGTTTTATTTTCAAGATGTATTAAATAATGTATTAAAAAAGAATGTATTACACTTCACTTTTTACAAATAAAGTTGTAAAATAAGAGAAAAAAGTTTCAATAGTTGAGAAAAAAACAAAGGTAGTGTATGACAGAAAATAAAATTCCATGCAAATCTTTATCTAGAGTGAGTACATTTATTTCTAATGAAACAAAGTCAAACTAATTAAAATGGGAACATATCCACAAATTTTAGTGAGCATCATTTGTTAAAATAAGCTGCTTAAAACCAGTTACTTATGGTGTAAATACTGGTATATTTTTTATTAAAATCAAATAAAAAACTATTAAGAAATTTATATAAATTAAGCATAAAAAAATATTAAAAATTTCTCACATTGCAAAAATAATAATGAGATATTGTATTGATCAGTTATATCTTTTTCAGGTGGAAATCTGTAGCAATGTTGGTCTCTCATAATAAACAAAGATCATCAATGTTAAGCTATTGAACAAACAATAATTACCATTTACATATATATATATATGTGTGTGTGTGTGTGTGTGCGCACACATAATTTCCTCTTTGTTACAGGAAAGCAGTAAAGCTTTGTTGTAAAGAGACTGTAGTTTGCAGCTTGGAAAAAATCACTGTAATAAAAGAAAACTTAAATATCATTTAATATGAGAATCCTGAGAATAATGAGGATTTCAAAAGTAGAAGAATCACATTTTGGAGAAAAGTGTAATTAGCACCAAGTAGACAAAAATGCATTCAAGAAGGAAGTAAAGAGATCAATTTTTGTACAAAAATTATGAAAACAATTTATTAGCCAAGTGACAATAAAAAAAATACAAAAACCCAAAAAAAGAAAGAAAAACCTTGGATCATAATACACATCATCTCAAAAGCACATAAACTTTATAAGTTATTTCCTACACTAAATATTATATTAGTGAAGGAACAAAAACAAGACAAATATTTCCCATTAATAACAAGGCCACCTCAAAGATTTAGAAGGGATTGGGATTTACAGAACTTGATTTTCAATAATTGTGGACTTGGTAAAATTTAAGTACTATTCTCCAGTTCCTGTTATAAAAAACAATTTTTTTTATTGTATTATGATTGTTATTTTTTTAAGGGGTGGAACTTAATGTAAGATGTATACAATTACTCATAATTACAATAGAATTTTTACAATGGGTAATAATGTTAATACTTTTTACAGATTTGTTAGTTTATCCTATAAAAAAATTATTAATACTAGACTAACAAGTATGAAAAAAATTAACTATTTGATCTCCCATAAAGGTGTCAATCCATTTGTTGATAAACATAATGACCTTTTAATCCCTAAAATTTCAACCAAAACCTATTAGTTAAGATTATAATGGGAAAAAAACATTTGATATGTTGCAGTTGCACTTAAACAACTGTTAGAATATAGGCTTCTGTCTTATTTAAATAATTCTGGCAAACTTGAATTTTTTTAATATAAAATTAAATATTAATTATAAGTGTGTGAATATTATGTAATGTTTCAATTTTTTAATATTTAAAATTTAAGACTTTTTAGCCTTACAGAAAAATATCAGACAATAAAATTCAAATCAAAAATGAAAATTAATTTAGAATTTGTACCCACCAGTGGTGATAGTGGAGCAGTTAAATATACCTTGGTTTCCATAAAAAATATTAATTTTTCATTCCATGAAGACACATGGTCTTTTTCAGTGTGAGATACCTAGATACTTTCTTTATGATTGGTTGTCCATAAATTTCCCAGTTTCATTGGCTTTTGATGTAGGCATCAGGACGTCCACTTGTTTCTATTCCCTTAAAAAAGGGTGTGGCAGTCCTCCCTGGGATACATATTCCTTGGAATTAAGCTTCTATAGATTCCCCTTGCCCACAAAGCATATAAAAATCAAGCATGGTTGTGTTCTAACGATTGTTGTTTGAACAGCTAAACAAAGAAAAAAAAAGGTAGGCAAACCTCAAGATGAATAATACATTCCACAAAACTGTTGTATTAAACAAATTCATAATATTCAAAATTATTGTAAATTTTGCCAAACTATGGTATTTTTATCCTATTGGAAATTTGTAATTAAAAAAAAAAAAAAAAAAAAATCACTATTCTTTAAGCAAAATAACATATGCAAAAAAACCCCCAAAAAACAAAAAAAACTAAAATTAGTTATATTTATAAAAAAGAAATTTAATGCAATTACAAAAAAGAAATTTCAATGGAAAAGAAAATTTAATATTATTATTAAAATGTTTCAATAAGGTTGTTTGAACTGATAAATTTGTTTTCATATCTGCCTATAATTCAGAAAAAATATCCTGTCAAGCTTATAATCAATATCTGAGTAAAGACAAAATCTATATCCCTTTGAAAGCTAAACCCAAAAAATATTTCTCTATATTCTTTAAAATGTGACTCCTTCATTTGTACTACTGACTTTCTAAAAAAAAAAAAAAAAAACATTCATTATTTATTTCATGTAAAAATAAATAATAAACATTTTATGCAGGATTCAAATAATGGTGGGGAAGTACTAATTGAAAATTAATTCTTACTAACTGAAGATTTGATTCATTTTCAAATTTATACAAAATTAAATTTTCTATTTGAAATATTACTACATGGGGTTTGCCTTTATTTAAAGATCTTGATGAATGTGATTAGGTTTTTCTGTATTAATTCTTCCATGCTGATTTTAAGTTGTTTTTTAAAAAATAATAATCATAATAAATCAAGGGCCTTTTCGCAACATAGCTGATATAGAAAATTGTATTTTTCTATATGATCAAAATCTCTTAAAAATTCATTCAACTTGAAAAGAGAAAATGCTTTTGATTGATTTTTACTAAAATATTGTTGCATAACTATTAGGAAAAATATGAATGAATTCCTTGAGCATTAGGACACAGAATGGAAAGCTTTTATTTTAGAGTCAGCTATGAAGGTTGAAATAGATCATTTATTTTAAAGACAGTAGAGATTGGAGTTTACAATTTAATTTTAGGGTTTAAAAGACATCTTTTTTACTATTCAAGTAATGCAGATTTTTACAATTTCAAAGCTTAACTGGTCAGTTTTTGGAAAAACTCAAATTGAAGATCAAGAACTGAACTATCCAAAAAGACATTGGAAAGTGACAAGTGTTTGCTATTCCAATTTTCCATTTCTGAAGAGTGAAGAGAATTGCATGTATTTTTTAGACACTGCAGTTTTTGTTGTTGTTTTTTACTGTTTATTTTTGGCAAATCAGTGGAAGGGATGAGAGGAAAGATGTTTGTTTTGTTTTGTTTTTGTTTTTTTTAGCGAACAAATTAATTTAGATCAGGATATATTCGTTGATGAAAGCAAGAACTTCTTTCTGTTGATAAATAAACTTACTGTATCACAATCACATGTCATAAAATCATTGTGTATGACTTTCTTTTTTTCTTGCATGAGTTTTTATTTTGAGGTATAAGATTTTAAAGCATTGCTTTGATAAATTGCGTTTATTATTATTAACAAATATAGTTAATAAATATTATTTTTTAAAAAAGGAAGAGAAATTGAATTATACACCATCAAAATATACTTTTAAAAAAATGAATGTTTAGAGTCCCCCACCCGACCGAATAATGAAGACAAATCAATATATAAGATCGTCAAGTAAGTCTCATAATATAAAAATAAGCAAAACCCTTGGAGTTGTTTTCTCTTTTTTTTGTGTGTGAATAGTGAAAATGAATGGAATCCGTTCTGATAATTTCATCCTTATAGAAAAAAATTGCATGCATTTTTTTTGTCTTTACGTGTCCTTTTCTAAGTAAGTCTTTTATTTTTCCTGTCTTTTTTCCCCGGAAATTTTCATCTTCTTTTCTTAAAAAAAACTTACGAAACACCTCTTTGTTCATCTACTTCTCGTCTTCCGACCATCTGTCGCCGAAGTTGATCTAATTCTTCGGCTTTTGTACTGGCGTAATGATGGTACATCATCTTCACTCCAGTCACAACCGATAACCGCAAGCGAAGATTGTAGCGAAATGAGTGTTTTTTGTTTTTTACGGCCCTTTTGTATCGTACTTCCAGATCTCGGATTTTTTGATCAAGCAACACAATTTGGTGACATGCCTTTTCGAACTTGGCTTGAGCTTCACGCATCTGTTCAGTCACATGTAAGTGCGCCATCATGGCCGATGTAAGAAGAAAACGGCAATAAACATTCAATAATCGTTTTCGTTTTTCTTGTTCCCACGCTGATTTGCAGTTTAGTTTCCCTCTTTCCGAAATAAACAGTTAGCTGTAAATTATTTTCCACTGTTCAGTTCTGTTCAAACACCTGATATTTGAAAATCAGCGTGACCCTCGATTTAGTTAACGCTCTTTTGTGTGAGGAGATAGATTAAGTCGCCGAAACCAAAACAAACTTCTGTCTATTTAAAAAAAAAAATATTTCACTATTTTTATCAAATTTCATTATTATCGTTCTTTTATGCTATAAAAGTAGAAATACGGCGATTTCTAGAGACACTCGAACATATACAAAAAAACTTATTTTTTACTTTAATTTCACAATCTGGTCTTGGTTGGTTTGTTCTTTTTTTTTAGTTTTTTTTTTTACTTTTATTGAGTTTTTCAAACTTAGTTTTTCAATTTTATAAGTTAACCCAATAAAGATAATCTGTAGTTAGAAATTTAAACAATACAGTACCCAATATTTCTGCGAAAATTTCCATTCTCTATTTACAAGGAAATTCACTGAAATATTAACATTTTTAAAAAGTAAAAAAACACTTGTTCAGTTTTTAGTAAAAACTGAACAAGTGCTGTGAACATGCTGCAGCTGCAGAGAAAATGATGGTTTTAGTTTTTTGTTTTTTATACATACAATCGACTTTCTTTAGTTCAGCAAATTAATTTATCTTTTTTTTTATTTATTTATTGACAAAAATAAAGATTCGGTTTAGCGTTATTTCTCGTATGAAGCCATGAAGCTCTTTCACTCTGGATGTGACCTTTTTATTTTAATTTCTTCCATAAATGTTGCCTTTTTCAGAAAATTAAAAACGATGATGTGGAAGTTCATTTTACTACGGCACATTCATAATGCAAGAAGCTGGCCCCTGACTTTGTGCTCTTTATGACATCAGCAGTATGTTCGATTTAACTGTAACATGAAAATGGACCCTGATTTTGTGTCTCTTTAAGTAAAAAAAATAAAATAAAATAAATAAATAAATATGTGTTATTTAAAAATTTATGTGCAGAGCCCTAAAGAAAAATCTCTTGCGTTATTTTATTTATTTATTTATTCTCGCGAAATGTATCTCGAGTAGCTATGATTCTCATAACACACAAACAATGAACTAAGTTCCTACTCGCAGGGAAAAATGATTGTTGAAACCTTTATCTTTTTTTTTCTCCTTAATGTGTAGTGTGATGATTTGTACTAGGGTGACCCGGATATAAGAGAGATTTTCTCCGGTCCCAAATTAGAGCCTGTGTTAAATGCATATAAAATAGAGAAACCCGGATATAAGAGACTTCGTCTCCGGTCCCGACAACTCTCTTAGTACTAGCTTTTCAATATGATTATTAAATATAGTTTTTACTTAATTAATATCACCTAACCTGTACAAATTAATGCAGAAATTATAAAACAATTTTAAACTTCATAAATTATTTTAATTAAAATTAAAAAAAAAGAAAACAGTTCTTGTAAAAATTCATTATTCATCGAAAATTTGAAAAAAAAAATGAAACATTTGTAAATCGAAATACTCCTCTAAAAACCTAAATTGTCAATTTCCAGAAAAAAATGATGGTCATATTCATTCAAAGCACATGAAAATACACGAAAAAATATTTGCCAACGAAAATGCATTGATTTATTTCGGCTGTTAATTAACTCTCTAAACTGAACGTAATTATATTTGCAATCAAGAAATTTGTTGACGAATAGATAAAAAAAATTACACAGTTAAGTAAATAGATCAAATCCTTCCTTTACACTCGATATTGATAAAATTCTTTAAAAGTTTATTTAAAAAAAAAAAAAAAAAAAAATAGAGATGTAAAAATTAAATCATAGCGTATTATTATTATTATTATTATTGTTTGCAGTGCGGACCTATTATTTACTACTTTTCAACTTCCGGTGCCGATGTCAATGATATGGCGACTGTTCTTTATGCCAAACTTTTGGTTTTAGGTAAATATACAAAGTATTTTTTAATTTGCTTTTTACATTAGAATCATGCTGAGTAATGATGATTTTTATCTGTAAAATCTTAAACAGAAAACAAAGACTTATCATTAATTTCATTTGTAAATACAAATATGTTCATGACAGTTGATGATACGAAGGCATTACCATGGAAACGAAACCTCAACAACTTTATTATTCAATGAGTTGTAACTTGTTTTTTTTTTTTTGTGGTAAACTTGTTTCATTCTAAGATATTTTGTATTATTATTGTTTTTGTTTGCTTTCTTTTCTTGTTGCAAAGGTGGTTCTAATGAAATGAAATGGTTTATTTTACAAAGATGTTCTTATTTTTTAAAAAATGGCTTTATAAAGAAAAAAGTGTACAAATCAGAAAATCTAGCATTCAAAAGAAATTAATAAAATAATTAACAAAATAAAGACGGTAACGTAACATGCAAAGCTGCCAGGATCTAAAAATAAATACCTGGACTCTGATGGATGCTAAAAAAAATGATAGATTTTTGACTAGAAAATCTGTGTAAACTAAAAAAAATAGTATTTAAAAAAAAAACAAAAAAACTCGTCATCTCAAGATAAGTTATTTCAGTTCTTATGTGCATGCTGTATTATTTTTTTTCCAGCAGACTTTGGTGAGACATCTTTTCTCTGAGACTCCATTTCATTTGCCGTTAATTTAAATAAGACAATAGGACACAGTCAGTGAGAAGAAGTGATCCTTGATTATAACGACCTCCGTTACATTCTTGCTAGAGTGAGGAATTCAAGTAAAAGAAATTCACAAAAGTATTATTTTTAAATTGTCAATTTTAAAACTAAAAGTGAATAATCCCAAACTGTAATGATTGAAATTTTCAATTTGAAAAATACGTGTTAAGAAGAAGTATTTCCACAGAAATGCAATACCTAAGGCTTTAAAAACTAAAAAGAAAAAAGTTATGAATTTTTTTAAATGAAAAATCTTTCTTGAAACTTTTATTTTATTTTTAATTTCAAGCTAATAGATTAAATAATTAAAAATTTAATATTTCCAACAAGCAAAATAATTTCCTGTATTTCAAAACTAATTTCAATTGACTAGAAGGATTTTTTGTTTTGAAATTGCAAAAACATCGCTGATATAAGCCAAGCCTCATTTTTTTAGCCATGTTTCATCACAATGTAATTCTCTTTTAAAAAATCTTTACAAAATAAAATATGCTTTGCTGAAACTTTAGTTTGAGGAATATAAGCTGATTTAAAGTTTTTATTTAATTCATTTGATTTGAAACAAATATTATTTTTTACATTATTTAAGTTTAAAATATCGCAGAAATTGTCTTTACTATTGCTCTTATTTTCGGATAATATGAGATCGCTAAAAAAAGAGCTTAAGACTCCAAACTTGACGAAAACAAAATTTTTATCGTCGAAATGTTTATTAAGAGGAAAGAACAAAGTATTTTTTAATTATGTTTAAAAAAGATTTCCTTCTTTTTAGAACATTACATTTGATTAAAAAAAAAACTTGTTTCTCTTTATATCAGTGGAACTAAAGTCTAAATAACATAAAATTTTAGCGCGTTTTTTTTTTTTTTTTTTTTACATGACAGACATTAATTTGGAAAATCTTGCAAAAAATAAAAAAATAATTATCGGATTTTAATGAAACTTTCAGAAACTATTCACAAATGGGTAAATTTTCATTTTAACACCTGAGCGTCATTCACGGCTGAACTATTTTCTTTCAGAAATTAGTACGAGATTCCGTAAAGCGATTTTTTTGGTACTGAATTTAAGAAGAAAGTTAACTTTTTCAAATATATGTAAACATCGACAAATAACAAAAGAAAAAACCCTAATTTGAAACTTAACTTTCTTCTTAAAAAAAAATAAAAGAATAACCAAAAAAAAAAACCTAACCCTAATTTGAAAGTTAACTTCCTTCTTAAAAAAAAAAAAGAAATAAAAGCATAACAAAAAAAAAACCACCTAACCCTAATTTGAAAGTTAACTACAAGGAATTACTGTGAAGGAAGTAAATAGGCCCAAATTGTATACGTCCACCAACAAAATTCAGCACTGAATTACTTATCAATAAGCCGGTAATGGCTGACAAAAGACCAGGAAAAAGTCCGATTTTTTTCGGGTCGTTAACATCCAAAAAAGTAGGTTACTTCAATATCTAATTGTTGATTTGAGTTCAGCATATACATTTGCACAGAAATAAGACTATTTTGGAAAAATTTGAAGGGATATTAGCGCTCGGGTGTTAAAATGAAAATTTACCCACAAATGATGGAAATTATAAATATGTTTTCCTTTTTTAAAGTCATGGCATTTTTTTTTTATATGTATTACTCCCACCCCCTGCTAATTAATTTTATGAAAACTCTAGAAATTCATTACCATACAATTTAATGATTATATTAGTTAAAAGCACAAGGCTTTGAGGAAAGCAAATGATGTTTTTTTAGTTTTTTTTTTTTTTTAATCGGACCACGTCTACCTGGAAAATCAGCTCTGAATTGTAACTTACAAAACTCAATAAAACAAAGATATTTAATTTCAAATGCATTTTTTGTTGTTTTTATGAATATGGATAATATTGTCTGAATGCAAAAAAACTTTTCTGATAAAAATGAATTTTTAAAACAATTGTTATTTCTTTATTTTATTATTTTTACATTAAAGTTGTTAAATATTCTAAAATTAGTGAAAATGGTCTACAGTTTAGTCAATGGTGTTATTAAGCAGATCTATCTTTACAGATTATAAATTGTAAAGCTTATTGCAATCAATGGACCAACAGTGTATTAAAAATCCAATTTTGCATGGCTTTTGTGTTGTGTCCATAAAACGGCTGTAATTCAAATCTATGGAAGGCCATACATGAAAACAATAAAACGTCACTGTAAGTGTTGTTTCTCTCTGTTACGACCTTTATTTTAGATGTAAAAAAAGTTTTTACCAAGATTTCCTAAAAAAAAAAAACACAAAAACACACACATTTCTATTCTAAAATAATTTAATTCATTTGTGAATAAGTCCTGAAAGTTTAATTAAAATCCAACAATTATTTGATTTTTGCAAGAATTTCCAAATCAATGCATTTTTCACCACAAAAAAGACAATGAAATTTCCTATACTAATCTTTGGTCTTCCTGCTGACACAAGAAAAACAAGATTTTTAACCAAAATTTTGAACAATCTAAAAATGATCAAAAAATATAATTTAACAACCAAATCTTTGGTCTTTCCTCTTAATAATAACATAAAGGTTTTGATAAAACTTTGGGCAATTATTAATCATGGTATGCTCATTTTTTCATCAATCTGGGGAGGTACATTATAAATCTTATCTTATCTTATTATAAAACGCAGGTTGTGTGTGTGTGTGTCTGTAACGTTTATATGTTGGATCGAATTTCCTACATTTTTTTAGCCGATTTCAACAAACCTTCACAGGACTACATAAAATTACCTTGTGGTGGTTCTAACAGGGGCCGAAGATGGGAAAAATACAGTTTTTTTTAATAAAATCAATTTGAAAACACGATTAAGACACATCATTGAGAATGAAAGGGGGACAACTCACCCACGAAAATGTAAACAAAAGAGCATAGCATGATGAAAAAGACGCCGAACTTGATGAAAACAAAATTTTATCGTCTAATGTTCATATTATTATTAAAGAGGAAAGATCAAAGTATTTTGGGGGTATTTTTTTACATTTTTTAATCGTTCCTAGCATGTCTGAAATTTTCGTTAAAAATATTGTTTTTTTTTGGTCAAAAAAAAGGGCAGATAACCATTTTCAATCATTTTTTTCGATTTGATAAAAAAGATTAAAATCTTACTTTGATATTCTTTTAAAAGTCAATTATCATTTTTTCAAAACTGATTTTAATAAAAACAGATATTATACTGTTTATTTAAAATATTTTGAACCAAGCTTAACTTAGCTTCTGCGCCGAAAAAATGTAATTTGAAAATAAAACAAAGCTTGACGATTGACGAAAGGCACATTCATGACATTTAGACAAGTTACAGGAGGAGAATTCTTTCTACGGATGGAAGGAAGTGAAATTATTTAAGTGAACAAATTATTTACCTTGTTACTTTTAAGGAAAACTTTCAGCACTCTAATTTTTTATTTTTTTATTTTTTTATTTTTTTTTTTTGTACTTAGCTTTCATTTTTACGTTTTACGATGCTTTATGGAAAATATAAAGAAATTAAAAAATAAGACTGTTAATAGTGAGATTCAATTTCATAAGAAAAAGGTATCTAATTAATTTAGGTACCTTTCTTATGAAATTTTATCAAGTGTACATAAAATACTATAATTTTATGTACATTTATTACATTTTTACTGTGTTATTTGTATTTCCATTCATTTTATTATTAATTTTGATATTTCATTTATGGAAAAATGTCATAACTGAGATTAATATAAAAATAAGATCATATAAATTAAAGTTTAGCAGTAGTTAAATTTCATAAGATGATACTGTTACTTGTAGGTACCCTTCTCAGTTGAAATTGAAAACTCAAATTAACTTCTCCATACGTGTTTTCGCAAAAAAAGTAAAGGGCTTAACAGCGGAGAACAATGCTGAACTCAAATAATGCAACTAAATTGTATTCTGGTTGGTCTTCCGTACTTGATAATTACTGTCCGACTATAAACACAAAAATTACATTTCTTAATTACCATGGCTAATCTGATTGGTCCAAATTATACAATTTTCAAAGCGCTAGACAATGACAATCTCACACGGACATTTTGAAAGGTTGATGTTGCTTTTTTAACTAATGTTAAAATATTTTTTAAAATTCAATTTAAACATTTTTTAAAAATCTTTTTAAAATTAAAGAAATAAGAAATAATTGTATTAAAATTCAATTTTCATTGAAAAAAATTTTTTTGCTTTCAGAAAATATTGTCCATATTCATAAAAACAAATTAAAACAAATAAAAGCATTTGAAACTAAATAATATATTTGTTTTATTGAGTTTTGTATGTTACAATTCACAGCTGATTTTCAGGTACGTTGGCCAAAAAAAAAAAAAAAAAAAAAAAAACATGATTTGCATTCTTCAAAGCCTTGTGCTTTTTAACTATTGTAATCACTAAAACCGATGGTCTCTAATTTCTAGAGTTTTTCATAAAATTAGTTATGGGGTGTTAATAAATATAAAAAAAAATATTTCTGCCATGACTTTAAAAAAAAAAAAAAAATATTTATAATAATTTCGATCATCTGTGAATAGTTTCTGAAAGTTTCATTAACATCTGACAATTATTTTTATTTTGCAAGATTTTCCAAATTAATGTGTGTAAATACAAAAAAATGCGCTAAAAATTATCTATGTTATTTACTACCCCTTGTTGCGACAAAGAGAAACAAGGTTTTTTAAATCAAAATTTAGAATATTCTAAAAGATGGAAAAATTTTTTAAAAATAATAAAAAAAATTTAGTCTATCCTCTTCATAAAAAAAATAAGCATTTTGACGATAAAATTTTGTTTTCATAAACTTTGGCGTCTTTTTTCATCAGACTATGCTCTATGTTTTAGCGATTAGGTTAAAAACCCAGGTTGTTTATGTGTGTGTGTGTGTGTGTGTGTGTGTTCCTTTATATATGGGATCGGATTTCTCACATTTTTCAGCCGATAAAACAAACATCCACTTTTTTTTCGGCAGGTAGTATTTCTTATTGTCTTGCACACTTTTTTCTTTATTTACATTCAGAATGCTTTAAAAATTCCATTTACAAGACAATTGTTTATAATAAAATTCTATTCACCAATCGATAGACTCATAACGATTGTAAACAATGTTTTTGTTTGAATTTGGGTTTGACCAATTCATAAAAAAATAAAAGAAAAAAAAAAAGAAAACTAATTAAGACATGCGTGTCCATCAACCTTAAACAATAATCTTTGTCAATTTTATTTTTCAGTCTTTATGATGATCGATACTTGATCTATCTCTTACTGTTACATCCCCAGGCAACGCCGGGCTTTACTGCTAGTTTTGAATAAATATGAAAATAAAAAAGTTACAATAATAGTTCTGAGATTAATATGTCAATTTAAGTGCATTCTTCATGAATCTGTTTCTCCTTAGGAAGTTCTGCTGTTGGAAAAACTGCTCTGTGCCAATCATTTCAAAATGACGGGACACACTTTTCTAAAAATTACAACATGGTAAGTATTTTTAAGTCTGAAAGTAACTGCTTTTAAATCAGATAGGTAGACAAATTATTGTTGTAACTTTACTTGGATATTACTTATTGAGGAATTTATGCACTGCAAGTCAAAATTGATGTTTACTTTGATTTGAATTAAGATAACTAGAGTGAAAGAAAATAAATGATTGTTACATTTGTATGACCATTTTTTTTTTTCAAATCATTCCTTTCTGTTTATGTGTACACTGATATGTTTATATATGTATATGCCATTTTAAAAATCTGCATCACCTTTTTCAGGTGTGGTTTGACTACTTTCTTTTTTACCCTTATAGGATACTGAAACAAAGATGAATAAAAGTGATTTTGTATCATTATGCTACCTGAGTTTAAACTCAACCGTTGTGTTGGAGCAACTCATACCATTAACAGTACTTGGCATTGGAGCCAACTTTAGAATAAAATGTGCATCCTTAGTTCTGTAGTAGACATAGTCTGTCATCCCGGCATAAGTGACATAAAATTACCTGTGCTGTGCACAGGAGACTCAATTTACATGGACCAGGTGATGTCTCACATGACCAGAAATTTGTGTAGCAACCTCACTAGATGCCATAAAAGCCAGCATTCGTTAACACAGGGCAGTTACTTGAAGAGATGCTGCCAGTGTGACAAAAGCGAATTGCAATAACTCGGCTACAAACTATTTGAGCATTGATGACTGATCTCATTATTTGAGGAGCAACATTCAGCCCAAATTCCAATCTGGTCAGGCAGTACTTTCTGTCTTGAAAGATAACAGTTTGGTATAGCCAAAGTTGTTCATTAATGCGCACATGTACATTTGCATCTCCATTGTCTTAGTTCGCTGGCACAAACATCAGCATCTGTAGTGTATGCATCAACATGGACATTGAGTTCCCTGTAGTCCATTACGAGATGCAGTTTCATCACCAACCATCAGTAGAAGTAACCTTCCTGAGGGGTGGGGAGTCTAAGCTTCTGCTCATCATATAGAATAAGCCAACCCTTCTCAATGCATTTTTTCAACTCCCTCTGTTACGATCCTCTGATTTTAAGTGGCACAGAATATTCTGAAACGCAGTTTTGTAACTTGCCTGGCATTTTGCCTTCTGCTCATTTCCAGGATGATGCTGATCATATTCGGCCTGAAAATCATGTTCTTCAGAGTACTGGTGCCAACAGTTTGAAAATTGCTGCAGTTTGCTTCTTCATTAAAAAGAAAAAAATGGCTGTTTTCTTGATCATGTATCTACCATTGATGAAAAGTGGTTTTTGTATGATAATCAGAAACATGGCTTTCTAACTGTTAACAAACTTGCTTCCCCCTTAACCTTTCCAGAGTCACATCTTTACCCCAAAACAGTTCTCCTAACAATTTGGTGGTTCTTTCAATCTGGTCAAAATATCATGGTAGAGTTCTATTATGATTTAGAACTGATGCATCAAAAGTTGCAAACATTTTATGCAGCAGTAATAAATAGAAAGAAGCCTATCCTACTGCAAGATAATGCAAGATCTGAGCTTCACAAGCCACCTGCATAAAATTGATACAGTTAGGCATCACTGTCCTGCTCCACTCTCCCTATATAGCATATCTATCAATATACTTCAATTATTTTCCATATCAGACAAAACAATGGATATTTGGTGATGGTCAGAAAGTACTTAGCCACAACATAACAGCCAAGATGAGAACAATAGTTTAAAATAATTAAAGTATATTGGCAATTACTCATCTCAATGTCTCTTTGTATATTCAAAGCTAAAAAAGAATGAAATTGAATTTTTTCATTAATTTGAAAAATTTTTTAATTACAAAGAATAAATTTCCTAAAGAATTTTTTAATAACTAACATTTTATGACAAATTTATTCTTATATATGATACTAAATATATTTAATCAGAATCTTATTTTCAGCAAAAATATATTTATAGAAAATGTCAGTAAAGTGAATTTTTTTTCTTCATAAAAATCAACTTGTTAAAGAAGAAACATTCTCTCAGAAAGAGATCACTATTTGCCTTTATTTCACACATATGTATAATTTGGGTTTAAAGTGTATTGAAGTAACATAATATTTTATCCCTTTCGAATCTTCTTCATTCAGTTACATAGGAAGGAAGAAAGAAAAAAATTGATAAAGAAATTAAGCAGAAAATAAATACCAAATTTTGAATTTATCTTTAATCTTCATTTCATTTGTTTAAAATATCTATTTTATGTATATTTTTGCAGTCAGTCTTGCAAATCATTCCTAACTGATACTGAGTTCAATCCTCACATTTTCTACTTTTGCAATTCTGTGCTAAATAAGCTTAGTAAATATCTACAATCATTTATTTCATGCTTCTCATTATATTTTAATGATTTTTGAATAATTACAAAATAATTATCTGTTTATATTAGTGTTTTTTCTTTTTTTTTTTTTTTAGACAACAAATGTTGATATTTTGGTAAAATCTATGAAAGTTCCTGGGACAAAATACAATGTTGTAAGTATAAATAGTTTATTTTGATTAATAACAACTTACCTCAATTTCCTTATGTCAATTTTACTAAGCATCTAGTTAACATGCTTTATATTTTTATACATTAACTTTGAAGAAAAACAGTTTTTTACATTTTCAGTTAAAATCTAAATAGTGCTTTCTTTATGAACAATCAGAATATATTACTAAATTTACTTAAAAATGGGTAATTTTTTTTAATTTAAAATTTCCTTTAATCTTATATCCGATAGTCTATTGACCTACTATAGTAGATATTATAGAAATATTAAAAGGATAGCCAAGCTCACAAAATATCTCTATAATAAATTTTTAAAAAATCAACTACTCATAAATTTTTGATCAAGTGGAAAATTCAGATTTATCATCACACACAATTTATTCCTTAGACACTGGCTGAATTGAGATATGAGGAGAGGTAAAAAATTATAATGATGTGTTTTAAATTATCTATCATGTCATCCCATAAGTTCTGTCCGAATTTTAACTTTTTGTTAAAATGAACAAAATTTAAAGAGTATTTTATAATGTCTAATGGAGCTGAACATTATTTTTATGTTTAGATGCATTTAAACTGATCAAATTTTATTTCAGAGAACAATAAAATTAAATTTTGTTTGATTAAAACCCTGCTAACATGGAAGTACCCAAGAATCATTTGAGGCACATAATACTTTATGAGTTCAAGAAAGGAAACTCAGCAGCCGAAGCGGCTAGAAACATTCACTCAGTTTATGGAGAGGAATGTGTGAATGAAAGAACTTGCAGAAGATGGTTTGCAAAATTCAGAGGTGGAGATTTTACCCTTGAAGATGAAGATTGAACCGGACGTCCAGTTGAGTTTGATGAAAAGCTTCTTGAAGCAGCCCTTGAAGAAAATCCTGCTTTATCAGTTGAAGAATTGTCAGTGGTTCTCAGTTCAAGCCATACAACTGTTCATCGTCATCTTCAACAACTTGGAAAAGTTCCTAAACTTGGAAAATGGGTGTCTCATGAATTGTCTGAAAACAACCTCAAATCCCGAGTTGACATCTGCTCTTCTTTCCATTCTTGCCAATTTGTTTCACCTTTTTTGGATAGACTTGTGACTGGCGACGAAAAATGGATCTTTTATCGAAATGTTAAGCGTCGTAGACAATGGCTTGGTAAAGGGGAAGGACCCCAGCCACAGCTGAGAAGGGAACTTCATGGGCAAAAGGTTCTTCTTTCAATCTGGTGGGATTGCCAAAGAATAATCCACTTTGAATTCTTACCACCTAACAACAATTAATGCTCAAATATACTATCAGCAATTAGAGCGTTTGAACCAAGCTTTGAGGATAAAAAGACCTGCTCTAGTGAATCGAAAAGGGGTGATGTTTCATCAGGACAATGCGTGACCCCACACAGCAAGAATCACGTCACAAAAGATCAAAAAACTTGGTTGGGAGAAAATTCTTCATCCACCTTATTCTCCCGATCTTGCTCCTTCAGACTACCATTTGTTTCGTAGCTTACAGAATCATTTGGAAGTAACAGCTTTTGTAACACAGGAAGAGGTTAAAACTGACATTTGTGAGTTCTTCGAATCAAAGCCAAAAGAATTTTACAGTAATGGAATTAGTAAGCTTGTTAATAGATGGAAGGAAGTCATAGATAATCAGGGAAAATACATTGTTGATTGAATCTAATTAAATGTAACATTTGGTCTCTTGTTTTCTTTATTCAAAATTCAGACAGAACTTATGGGATGACCTGATATATAAAACAAAGCAATAGAACATTTAAAGATTTTATTTGCTGTACAAAATTTAATGATGGCTTAGATAACAGACATTTAAAATGGAGTTAAAAGCAGAGAAAGTGTAGGAACTGATATTTAATACAGGAAAAAAATATTGGGAGTCAACCAGTTTGACATCTCACTTTTCAAAACTTGATCAAGGATAATAGAAAAAAAGTATGTACCAACTAAAACAGTAATGTACTAACATCAAATATTTATTCACATATCACATTAAGTCCTACCCGTCATTCCTGTTCTTTCGACAGGGAAAGCTGCCTTACTTTAAGATGAAATTCTGAGTGCAATCTGCTCAAGACAGAGAATATATTCTGCTGGTATGCTATGGTACACTAACAACTTCACAATAGTAGACTTGGATGTAACAGACTTATGCAAATTATCACTCAGTTGACTTTTGATAAATACCAGAACATGCTGAGAAATTCACCTCTCCAAAAGTTCAGTTGTCCTGCCTATATAGTCAGCATCACACTGACATTTAAAGGAATAAATAACAGAACTTGTTTTGAAGATAGGCAAGCTGTCTTTGCAAAAAGATTTTAACATCAGCCAAGACGAGAACATTACTCATGGATTATCAGAAAATAATATTGCAAAATACAGACCAAGATTTGCTTTTAGAGCAGTCTTAAATAGACAGGATATTTTTCAGGGCCAAAACATTTAATCCTATGAAATTGTGCAATCTTTGGATTTATACTTGACTGCGCAGTGTCTAAAGGATAGCCAAGATCACAAAATATCTAATAAATTTTAATTCTTGTTCTAACTTATTAAGAGAGGAGATCATTACATTTAGCTTTATGTAACTGATTTTTTGTCATTTGAATTAAAATGATTCTTTTTTTTTTTGTTTAACTTTTTTATTTCAGGAGTTCTTATTGATTGATACTCCTTCAAAAGATTGTTTTTCACAAATGGTACACAAATTTGTAAGTACAATTTTATAGAAATAAATTTAATGGCTAATTTAGTGAAAATGTTGTCACTTTCACTTGTGATGTTGATATAAACATGGTTTTTTTCTTTTAGTTTGCAGTCAGGTATATATTTTCTGACTAAATCTTAATGTAGTTACATTCTATATATGTACAATCTATGATTCTGTTGGGACATAAATATTTACAAATATTTTTTGAATTACTTGATGTATAAGCAATTTCTATGAAAAATTATGAAAATTCTTATTTTTTTAGAATGTGTTTTATTTTTTTCATCTCATTTGTACTTTCCCAAAAGTTTTTAGCAAAATCTCAAAATTCTACTAACCTTTTCTGTTTTAAATTTTTAACATTGCTTTCTTTCAAAAGTGATAGTTCAATTTTCTATATATCTGTATCTATTTTTTTCATGTACTCTTCTAAATACAGAGTATATTATGATATATTTTATAAAGTATATGGGTAATAGATTAACCTTACATAGCACAATACTTAAATGAAAAAGATACTAGATCTATATTGCCTAACCAAACACACATCTTGGCACTAGTGACATAACCATCAGTGACCAGCCTTGAAAATAAGAATTTAAACAAATTATGGTTATTTCAAACTAGTGTATCTATAACACGGACTCAAGAGTGACAAAAGGTTAACAGAACAAGATGAAGTTTACTTGTATAAATTTTGAAACTACCAATATTCTTATGTGCTAAATCAGTCTTGCATAATTTACATTCTTATGCGAGTTTCTTGTAAACTTTATTTTCTTCACTTGGGTTCTACTACTTGAACATTCTTTGGCAATAACTGGAATAATTGCTACTGACTAGCCAACTTTTGTGCTTTATCTGTACTTTTCTCATTAAAATTGTTCTCTGCTAGTCCTCGATGTATAGGGTAGTTACTCACTGAATTTCTATCTAATATGGTAACCCACTTTTTCAGAGAGCTTGCTTAATTATAGCAAGCTAAGACTTCTTAATCTCGGTATGGAGAATAGTGATAGCTAATGATTACTTCCTGTTCAAGCTCTTCTGATATGCAAATTTATCAGCCAATGTCATTATTGTTACCATATAACAATGTAAATGTATCTCTAAAATGTTTACAAACTACAAAACTTGAAAAAAAATATTAAACAAATATTTTTGTCTAAAAAAATAAAAAATAGTTCTTGCTATAGACTAAAACAAGAATAAGTAATAAAAAATACTAAATTCATTTTCCATTTCAGTACAACAATGCGTCACTGCTAGCTATGGTATATGATATCACCAACATCAAATCTTTTGAAGAATGTACACAATTGTTTAATGAAATCAAAGCCATAAAAACAAATCCATCACTTGCTTCTCTCCCATGTAAGCCAATTTAAAATATATTGCTATATGCTTTTGTGAATTTTTTTTCACTAAAAATGAATTCAAATAATGAATTTTCAACTGCAAACTATACTCTCTTATACTCTGTATTTTATATTCACTGATTTTAGAAAAAGGGACTTTTGAAAATATTCTGTTTTAGAGGATAATTGTAGCAACAAAATTTAAACTATTGGCCCATTAAAGACATTCAAATTTCACAAAATATTAAATTTAAGGCTTTTAAAAGTTATTGTTGAAATTAATTCATACCATATTTTTTTTAATCTGACTATAATCTATATAATAAATACAAATATCAGTGTATCACTGTGTTACACTTTTTCAACTTTACTCCTAGAGGTCGTAGCCCAATATATCATACTGTTTTGGAATCAGGCCAACTCTGTGAGCAAATTAAAATCATTCCAGGCCAGATCCGGACATGCAATCCTGAAATTTTCGATTCCCAAATTTTCATTACTGTGATTGTTTTTGACTTTTTTTTTTTTTTTTTTTTTTTTTTTTTAACATGAGTTTTTGTAACAAATTTTTTTGTATGATAACAATTTTTATAACTTGGAAATAAATTTGGGAATAATCAAAATTAATTGTGAAATCCAGCAAAAGTCACCCATGAAATAAAAATTATTGTATGGAAAGTAAGGACTTAAATACATCAAATTGTCTTTAAATTAAGTGGCGGCAGAAGAATTATTGTTGAACTTTTAAAAGGTAAACTTAAATATTAATGCAATACTTAAATGCAGAAATCAATTTTGAGTTCTTCTGCAGTTTATTATTGCCTATCATATCTACTTCTCCTTACCTATTGTGATGAAAGCCCAATCAAAATCCCACTGCAGGAGCTAGCTTAAATGCCGTACGATAGGGCAGCTTGTAAGCTAGTGGGACCTAATAAAATTTATTCAGAAAACTTTAGAAATGAATTGATGTTATTCTATTCTATGGCATTCTGAATATAAATCAGTATGAGGGTGCATATAAGTGAAAATCAATATTTAGTATAAGTTGTCCTATCTACAAGGTGGTCTGAAAGTCTTATAACCCCCTATCTCTCTTCTAAACTGCAGCAGCTTGTGTCAGCCATCAGAAATTGACTTTCGGACCACCATGTAAACTAATCTATTATCCTTGTATACTACATTAAGATAACTTATATATATATATATATACACACACACACACACACACTTGTTCCATTACTTTTTTCTTCTTTTTTAAGGTGTCCTTATAGGTAATAAATCAGATCTCAGTCAACAGAGGAAAGTGACTACAAAAGAAGGGGAAGCTTTGGCTAAAAAGTTTGATGCTGAATTATTTGAATGCTCTGTTGTAAGTAGCTTTCCTACTATTCCGACATCATATTTTGAATCTGGGATATTTGGAGACAGACTTAGTTATAGATAACTCAATAATTTTAAAATCAATATCCTGTAAGTTCATCAATTATTCCTTACACTTGGGATAGAATAAGATATATTGAATGTAGCCTAGCACTCAACTCTTTACAAATGTTGCTGGTTAAGTGATATTTATTTCATGCCAGAAGGATAGAAGTTTTATATTTAGAAATAATTATATCAACCTGTTACAAATACTAAAAATGACACATATTTTATACTTTAGTATTTCTTCCATTACAAAAAAATAAGAAATACTAATGAATAAAATAATGTCAATTTTAGTATTAAAGTTATAAGTTACTGTGCATGAAAAGAATTTGACAGTTGGGTGTAAATCATTGGCATCATTATATTTAAATAAAGCAAATATCTTGCAAGATTTTTACCATTCTGATTTTATATTTATTTGAAGTATGAAATATATATTTATGAAAGTGTACAATAATTTAGTTAACAAATCAGTATTACTACTAAATTCATCACTTCTGTATCATAATTGTTTTATTTTTCAGAAAGAGATGCAGAATGTTGATTCTCCATTTATCTACCTCGCTGATATTTACTGTAAAAAATATGAGAAAAGCTTGGAATATTTTAGCACGCTTGGCTGAAATATTCCTTTTGCATCAATAAATTTTTAAATACAAACATTATTTATTTATGAAATGTTTTCTTATTTGTATTGAATGATTACTTTGTGCAAATATTTGGTTGATAGATGCTGAGTAATTTAATCAATACAAACACAATCTGTAATCTCTATGTAAAACAATGTAATTTTTTACTAAGTTTTTTACTATAGTATTAAACTCATATACAGAATCTATGGTTTGTTCTTTTACATTATTTTTCATCCAATACAAGAACCAAGAGCCACTCAAGGTTGCCCAAATGAAAAGAACAACTTAAATAATGGGTTACCTGCATTGCCATATGGAGAGTGAATTGACTAAATAATTATTATCAATCTGTTTTCTTTCATAGCTTTCTCTTTATCTGTTTCAATCTATTAGTATCAGATTATTAGGGTCAGTTTTACCAGTGTAACTTTAATCTTTACCATCTGTAATTGGTGTCAAAATTCTGGAATCTGAATGAAAATTTTAAAAGTTGATAATCTGCATTGTGTTGAATATCAATAGCTTAAATATCATTATAAATTGTATTTTTTTTTTTAAATTTGAAAGTATTCATTTTGTAAAAAACATAGTGAAGATTAAATTCATTAGCTTGCTAGACATTCTATAGCAGCTATTCACTCATGTTATCGTCAAAATTTATTTAAAATACAAGGTTGTGAAGAATAACTTTCTTTGTAGCAGTAAACTATGCTTATAGCAAATAAGTTTTGGTAGTATTTATAAGGTGAGCTGCTAGATTTTTTGAAATTATAATTTGTGCAAAAGAAACAGAATAAAAAATGGTATTTCATTAGCACAGTGCTTTATTTAAATTCAATGCATTGATGTTCTAAAAATCAGAAATAGTCCATGAAAAGGAAAATCACATTCTGAGGTTGCATATTATTCATCATCGTTTGGGATATCTGGAATGCAAAAAGAAAACAATATGCCTTTAAAATTTATGTTCTAAAAGTTTATAAAAAGCAAAGTAAGAAAAACAAATGTAAAAATTTTATGATCAAAACAACAGGCAACTGTATTTTGACAAACTACTTACCATAATGTCTTTTAATATATTCTGCCCTCATTTACAATATTATAAAGTTAGACAAAGTACAAGTGTAGTCTATGGTGTTTGGGCAAACATCAAATCAGATACTTCATCTATTCATATAAGAATTTTGATTGCTCCACTAGTACACTAGCTGAAATCTTAGGCAGTTTTACTTAGATAATCATTGATTGCTTTGGTTTCATGACTGAAGATTTAAGCTGTTTAACATCTAGTGCAGGCTTATTGGTTGTTAATGAGGTCTATTTGGAACAGGTATAAACTGCAACTGCAGAATAAGGTTTGAGGAGTTGCAGGATGAGGATGTATTCAAATGAATTTTTCTCCTCTCTTCAGTACGTTCTGCAATTTTCTTCAAAACATCTACCTGGAAGTCTTATTTACTGCCCATTGGCAGTAGTCAATACTACAAGAGATGAAGCTGTTTTAGGAAATTTTTATCTTCCATGACTTTCCATTGTCTTGCCTGTCTATAAACTGTTTACTGAATAGTAAAACTAAAATGTTTTCCATATTTGCCACATGATTACTAAGTGTAGAGGTATTTTGTGGAGAAATATTTGAAATCTTGAAAACTTTGGTGTCAGTAATTAGGTTGCACCAATGCACATTGATAATGATGGTGGACCATTATTGATGAAAGTGATCAATGAAAAATAGGTAAAAGCAGTAGATGACTCAAGATTTGGAACCATATAAGGCAGTAGTTAGAATGACAGCTTTATATATTTTTACTTTTGAATTATGCAGCTGATAAATTAGCAGTGATATTTAATATTTTATCAAAGCACTTAATAGATGGCTGATGCTCAAATTCCCATTCACTTTATAATTTGTATTGTTACTTTTAATTCATTGTCTATGTGAGGGTTTTTTGTCATCAAGAACTAACATCCATAATTTTCAAATTTAAAAGTGAAAAAAAAAAATGAAATTACATTTACTTTTTTCTCACTGGCCAAAAACTCAATTAGTGGTAGTTAGGGTTAACTTATAAAACAGCAATTTAATCTTGGAAAATTCAAACATTTCAGCCTTTCTCCTCAATGGTCAGGCTTGTATATCTTTTTAGTTGTGTTTCAAATCAGTCCTGTTGTCAGATTTTTACAATTTTATACAAAGAAGATACTAATGCTGTCAAAAGTTTTTTTAAATAAATTATAGCAGTATAGGTCATAGCATTTTGAGACTTTTTTGTTAGTTCCCATAAGACCAAAATTTTCATAATCAGTGTGAATTGATATTTTACATTTATTTAATTAGCTCCCTTCCCCAGGTTAGGAGTAAAATTTTCATTTTCATGGTGTGAACTGTTTCATTTTCTAATGAAAATGTCGGTTAACAACCGTTAAGATTGTGGGCACCAATAATACCAATCAATAGATGACAAAATATGTATGTTCATGATTAGTATTCATTTGAAACTAATGTCCAGAGTAATAATAACATCAACAATAACTAGAAGTAGACATCAGCAGGATCATTGTCACTTATGAAACATTTTTTTTCAAAGGTTGTTAATTTCCAATTGATATAACTGTGATTACTTTTTTTATTTTACTCCAGAAGAAACACGTTTGTCTTAAAATATCTTCAGTATTCTTTTCTAAACAATAGTTAAGTTTCTTTTGATAAGACTGAACTTTCAGTAAAATAAAAAATATTACTTCAAAACTATATATATCACCTACTTTTGTAGATTCCCATTTTAATTATATATATTTTCTTTTTTCTCAGTTTTATTTTAACAAATAAAGTCTTTTATGTCCTTCATATCCTGAACAATATGATTCTTACTGGTCTGAAGTATTTTGTTTGCATCACTGTTATTAGATGAATCTACTGCATTACATTTGCCTATATTATCTTCTACTGTTTCTGGACTGACATTTGTTGTTGAACAGATTCATTCTCACTTCCAATATGTTTTTGTTTTTTTTTTTTATGAATTACCAAGGTTTATCCTTATTTTGTAGCTTCTGTTATTACTATAAATAGTCTCAATGATCCTCATAGTGACCCACAATTTTTTCTAATCAGTTTTTATCTGTACCCAACTGCCTATTTTATAAATTGTAATTTACAGATTCCATGTCTTTTATTGAAATTCCCCTGCATTCTTTTTTAGTTATGTGCATGTGCATGCGAGTGTCTATGTTACAAATAACATTTAGAAACAGTAAGAAATGTTATCAGCTCAAGAACAGAGAATGATGAAAGTGGCCAAAGTTCATGGTAAAAAGTATTTCAAGTGTTAAGTAATAAGGTAGTTGCATAGAAGAAATTAAAAAAAAAAAAAAGGAAGAGATGAAAGTTGTGTCCAATTCATTTGTCCTGTAAGTTCTAATTATAGCTGTTTTTCTTTGAGAGAGACCTGTTAGTTTCACACCTAGTGGCTTGTTAGAAAGCCTCCCTTGTTACTCCTGTGTAGGGCACATGTGGCTCCAGACATATGAGAGGAAATTGAAAAGCTTCCTGACCCTGTCAGGCAGGGGGGAATTTTGATCCTCACTATATACTGGAAAAGGAGAAAAGTGAGTTCTCCAGTTTATTTGTAGAATTCTAGAGGAAGTCATGACTAGGACTTGAAGTTGCATAATTTGAAACATGAGAGCTGCTGTTTTGTTAATGGATATTTTAAACTACTCAGTAAACACAGTAAATACTGAGTCATGGAAAAAATTGTTTTCTTATTACTTTTTTTACTATTTTAATTAAAAATATGATGTTAACAAACAAATATGTTTATCCTCATGATTGATTCCTCCGGGTTAACACCAGTACCGATAATGAGGATACAACAGTGTACCATCAATAAAAGAAAGATATTTTACACTGATTTCTACCTTTTTGTTTGACAGAAGAAAATGAGAGTTGTAATATGTATAAATCTATATTCTTTTGTAAAATCTTTAAGCACTGTACTACCAAATTTTCTTCAATTGTCACTAACAACTTCATTCTTCATCTGGCAACAGAATTTTTTCTCTATGAGCGTAATTCTTTCTCATTGGAGTAAGTGTATATGAAGTGAAAACTATATAAAAGTTTTATTTTTATGACTTTAAAAATAAGTTAGTCTTAAATAAATGTTTAATTATCTAGGTTGTTTTTGTACACGTTCTTTTGAGACAAGTGTAATTTTAAGAAAGCCAGACAGTTTGCAAAAGAAAATTGTTACATGTGTGTATCTTTTAGGCTCATCAGTTAAAAACCACCAAAATTGTTAAGGATTCATTTTAAATTTCACAAAAAGCTATTTTCTCATATTTTTTGGCCAATGAGAGAGGTGGTCTCAAGCCTTTGTGAAAACCTGAATGGAACATTCTGTGATCCCCTTTTTTTGAATAAAAAAACTTTGGTTAACATTAATTCCAGAAGGCATTTTGACATCACAGCGAAAATATTAAGACATCATGAAAGCATTCAGAAGATAAGGCAGAAGGTTACAAGACCACTGCAGAGAGCCTAAGGAATTTTGAAATTCACAAGGGAAAATTCTCCTTAGGTTGGACAACAAACAACAATTCAAGAAAATTTCCAAAAGTCTCAATGAAGTACAAGCAGTGTGTATATGAAAAAAAGACATTTAAAAAATTGCTATATGTCTCAGAGATGCTTGTGGAATAAGTAAAAATAGAATTTTACTTTTTTTTTTTTTTTTTTCGCCTTTGATTTTCTGCCTTCCTGAATGTGCTTTCTCTTTTTTTTTTTATTTTTGAAATTGTAATCCTTTCTTCATTTTTGATAGTAATCCTTTTGGGTGATATATCAGAAATTGTTGTCCTACCTTAATAGTTGCACAAAAGGAAATTTTTGTGCAAATTTTGTATTTGTATCTTTTTTGTCTACACTGTAATAAATGCTTTTTGTAGACAGCACTTGAGTTTGTTATTTGTGCCTATTTTAACTTTAG